GGTGGTGGCGTCCGACGCCAACACTGTGACCCTGGCAAACCCTGTTTGGAAGCGCTCCGAGGTGTACACAACACTCTGCACGATGTGTACATCCTGTGCCTGACAATGCTCTGCAATTGATTTGGCATCACATTCGGGGTCCACGTTGCCAACGTAGAACACTTTGACTCTTGGTTTACCCGTTAGTGCACATCGGGTGGTGCTCTTTGGAATCTTGGGTGCCAGCCAGCGAGACGATTCCTGTCGCCTGTACGGCTTGGGAGGCTGGCGTTGTGGCCTTTGGGCAGCTGGGGCAGCTGCAGGGGCAGTATTTTTGGGCTGCAATGCTGGTTGTGGGTGCAAAGTTTCTGCATACGTGGGTCGATGTTGTGGGGTCGAGGATACGGTTTTTGGCAAAGCTTGGTTCAGTGGGGTCATTGTTCAAAGTTTGAATCACCGTATCGTACCTCTCAACTTTGGCATGCAGGTCGTTCCTAAGTTCCCGTACTGCCGTCTTCAGGCACAACACCTCTCTGGCAGAATCGTTGAATTTAGCTTCTATTTCTCTCATGGCGTGTAACTAGCCTTCAACTCTCGGACGACATTAGTGAGTTCGGACAGAGCTGAGCACAGGCTGGCAACAACACCCTCATTAGCAGCCAGGGGGCTCGTGCTAGTAGGTCCACTTACTTCTTTGTCCTCATCCAGCGATGTTCTGAGCAGGGCAACAAGATCGGGTCTGGTGGCTTTTCGTGGGATTTCCAGTCCACGCTGCCTGATGAGGTCCCTCGGCTCCCCGTCGATCAGGACTGCAATGTCCACTTCAGCAGCGGGCTTATTAGCCATTTTATTACTAAATAAAGGACTTTTCCGGTGGCCTAAAGCCCAGGAAATTACAAAAAAGGCCGCTTTTCGGGAGCCAAAAAAGGTGCTGCCGTCCGTACATGTACAATGGTGGTACAGTGTGTATATGGTGGCACTGCCACTCTTACATGGATCTGCACATAGGCAGAGCAAGGGTTGAGGGCGGAGGTTTACATATTATAATGTCAACAATTTACATACTAGGTCCACACGTAATTTTCAGGACATGAATAAAATAATATCCTGTCACAGTTTCAACACTGTCACATGTCATAGTGAACAGACAATGCACCGTGGGCAGACTCCCATTTTTCGGGTGAGTTTGGGGCGCTTAGTATGCTACAGATTATACATTCGTGTTCACAAGGACAAGACGAGACCAAAAAATGCAGACGAGAGAATCTCACCAGTAATCCACAGCTGAACATCTCCACAACTCAGGTCACCAAGTGGATACGTGGCGTCATCTACATCTTCCACGGTGGACTCATCACTTTGGCAGGCATCTCTGTCAAGCTCCATCATCCTTTACCCCGTCAAGGCACAAACTTAGAATCACCAAATCAACTGCTGACACTCGGACGATTCCTTGGGAGCAGCCTATTATTTTTTGGATTTTTGGGACCAAACAGCGAACGCGTCCTTTGTGCATGACCTGCGCCGCTTTGACCTCATGGGGATTCTATATTTTCCCTCAGCACTCGTGCCCGAGCTGAGTCAATCATCCGACGCGGCTGTGCATCTCGTGTCGCCTCCCGGTATTTTACGACTCCCTGATCATCTGAGTTTGACTGGCTACCACCTACATTGTACTTCCTCAGGCTCAGTGACAAGTTAGTAGTAGTACTGTATCACTGTCACGTGACGCGCATACAGGTGACTGGTGGCTAGTATCCTAGCCTAGGGCCTCTTCAAATAGCTGCTTTTGCCACGGAGTGTAACAGGGCATATTGCCGCGAATGTCTCCATAAGCACGCACACGATAACATCATGAACTGAAACTTCATGACTTGTAGCCACAATAATCACTTGCTGAATGGATGAGAACAATAAAGAACTTTTGGGAAAACAAGATTCGTCAGATGATGCAAATAAAATACTTGAATTGTTTGCAGGCAACCTGCCTACACTCAAGAGAGCACTGCATTTCACACAAATCCATTGGTATCGTTACAACGTTTCGGTCTTTCTGACCATCATCAGGAATGAAGTGGACATGAAAAGAACAGCAGTATAAAAGAAGGAGGCAAGCAAGCAAAGCGCGGTACATAGTGACAGCGCGCGTAGAGAAGTGCAAAGCACGTCATGGCGGGTGTGCATTACTACATATACATGACAACACAAACACAAACGGCGAGGAAAGTAGATACTGCGCTACAGCAGTGATAACAGCCCAGTTCCAGTCTCACACCACCAGTAAGGTGTGTAGAGCCCCGCGCCACTCGCAGTAAGGTGGTGTTATAGCAGATCCCAGCCACTGTTGTTAATTTCCGGGGATCGCTCCCTGATATTGATGGCCTCCCGGATCCTCTTCCTGGGGCGGTCACGCTCAGAACCGAGAACCCGGATACCCGAGAAAGCCGTTGCTCCCAATGGCAATGGGTCAGATGCATGCTTGGCCGCGAAATGCTCACCCAGCGCGGTGCCGCTCACTGTGTTGCGTGCGTCGTCGTTGCGTTCTTTTGTCCTGGTAGCGAGGCTGCGGAACGTCTCTCCGACATATTTATCACCACATTTGCACTCGAGGTGGTATATGACGTTTCGCTCTGTGCATGCTTCTGAACCGGACATGCAGGCGACACAAGCAGCTTTGGGCCGCCCCCGTTTACGGGGCTTGGACGGGTCTACATACCTGCGGCATGGTGGTTTGCGGAGGGCAGACGTGCAAATCATAGAACTTAGACGGCGGTTCCTGTAAATCAGCTGGGCATTTATCTTGTACTTCCGGAGTAATTTATGAATTTTGTTGTGGATATACTCGGTGTGAAACGGTAGGTTGAGGGTGACACGGTATTCATTCTGCACTCTGCCACGTCGGGGGCGCATAGCTCGTTCACGTGCCGAAACTATAACTGACTCTGGGAAGTTGTTGAATTATAGGATGTTGGTTACTTTTTCTTCACTTCTTTTGAGGGTGTCAGCATCGGAGGATAGACGGACGGCACGCAGGAACTCAGAGGAAGCAATTGCTTTATTTTGCTGGTTGGGAACGGACGAGTTGTAGTCTGATACCAGTCCGCTGTGACATGGCTTGCGGTATAGTTCATAGGATATAGATCCATCTGGTGAGACATGGACGGTCGTGTCCATGGAATTGATTGAGCCAGTCAACTCCGTGGATTGGTGAGTGAATTTAATATTAGGATCAGCATTATTGAAGTGATCTAGGAAACTCTGCAGAAGTATAACGTCGTATACCACCTCGAGTGCAAATGTGGTGATAAATATGTCGGAGAGACGTACCGCAGCCTCGCTACCAGGACAAAAGAACACAACGACGACGCACGCAACACAGTGAGCGGCACCGCGCTGGGTGAGCATTTCGCGGCCAAGCATGCATCTGACCCATTGCCATTGGAAGAAACGGCTTTCTCGGTTATCCGGGTTCTCGGTCTTGAGCGTGACCGCCCCAGGAGGAGGATCCGGGAGGCCATCAATATCAGGGAGCGATCCCCGGAAATTAACAACAACAGTGGCTGGGATCTGCTATAACACCACCTTACTGCGAGTGGCGCGGGGCTCTACACACCTCACTGGTGGTGTGAGACTGGAACTGGGCTGTTATCACTGCTGTAGCGCAGTATCTACTTTCCTCGCCGTTTGTGCTTGTGTTGTCATGTATATGTAGTAATGCACACCCGCCATGACGTGCTTTGCACTTCTCTACGCGCGCTGTCACTATGTACCGCGCTTTGCTTGCTTGCCTCCTTCTTTTATACTGCTGTTCTTTCCATGTCCACTTCATTCCTGATGATGGTCATAAAGACCGAAACGTTGTAACGATACCAATGGATTTGTGTGAAATACAGTGCTCTCTTGAGTGTAGGCAGGTTGCCTGCAAACTATGCAAGTATAATGAAGCTGCGTGAAGCGTCCTTCAAAATTTTAAAATACTTGAGCTGTGGAAAATGTAGCACGACGCACTGACACTTACACTGTGACACTTTGAATGACTGTGACTGTGACTGCGACTCGCACTCCTAGATCCACTTCACTGAGTCTGTCTCCCGCGCGCCACAGTGCACGAGAGGATGTTCGCGGGGGTGCTAAGCCTAAGGTGTGAAAGTAGACCTTCAAGTTCGAAGCTTCGTGTGTAGAAAATTCCTGTCTGTGGCTAGTGCCAAACTCAAAAAGAAGTAATAATAATTATTAGTTCTCACTTTCTCTTACCCGGAAACCACCTGCTATCCCGGTAATTGTCCTTCAAATTTGGCCAACACTAGAAATCATGAAACATGCAGCTACAGTCCATTCATAAAAAAATGGGTCCTGGCCTGGCTCTGGCGAGCTCCCGTATTTGGCGATTTTTCGTGATTTCATCGTACACAGTGCAGTGCTGCGAACTTTGAAATTTGAAAAAGGGTCCAAAAAGGGTGCCTGAACTGGGGTTCGAACCGCAGAATGCACTGTTGCAGGCGGGGTCAAACGGCCTGGATTTTGATGGTTTTTCCCAATTCAGTGCTTTTGGGGCAAAACCTGGCCGAAATCCTATTCTTGCTATGGCTTGCTTTTTGGACAAAAAAACTTCAGAAACATAATTGGAAGAGGATTCCATATGGGATTGCAGAAAAAAATTCTAAAAAAACTCAACGTTTGACCCATTTATGGCCAAAAGCTAGAAGTTCATTTTTTTCTGAATGGACTGTAGTGTACCTCGCAGGTGCATGGATCCAGCAAGCAGCAAGCCTGAACAGCTGGAACAAAGGAAACAGATCGAGAGGTGAAAACCTGAAATGGGACTCGAAGGCAATTCATCGTAAACTCGCACTCAAATCCAGGATACCCTTGGGCCAAGAAGCATGCAAGCTCACTTCATGAAATTGAACAGCAAGAATTTGTTTTGGAATGTTTTTTAAAACCTCTCCCAGAATCGATTTTCTTGTCGCAATCATCAGTGGATCATGGTGATTGAAGTGAAGGCAAGCCAAGCAAAAAAATCAATAAAACACACGCCTCTTTTACGGGCAAACAGAATACAATTCACGGTGGCATGATGAATGACTAGAACACAACACCAAAAAATGAAAACAAATACATGTGTAAACAGTGGCATTTGGTAGAGGAAAGAGTCAAAAATCCGTAATCCCCTTGTTTCCACATACAAAATCAATGTAAAAACCAAAACAATATAACACCTGTGACAAAACAAAAAAAACATGCCAGGAGAATACATGGGCAGTGTCCTGTCCAACATCATCTCCAAATCACTGACAGCCGGCCCTCCGAGACTGCCAACTCTCGCAAAACATCTAAAATTACCCTATCGTTACTAACAGTCATTTTCGTTAGAGGGAAAATCAAAAAAGATCGAAAAATATTATAACCAAACACTACTCTCTCCTGAGAATAATAGTTTAATACTAGAGGGAACATGACTTGTAAAGAGAGATGAAATAGAGATGTGGGAGAGCAGGAGGGGATTTCTATTGTAATTAGCATGACCAAGACTACTCAATGAAAACAATAGCACGATAATGTAGAGGCGTGGTGTAGTGTGTATGCGTGGGGTTGGGTACGGGATGGGAATGATGGGTGTGAGTGTGTGTGTGTGGGGGGGGGGGGGAGGGGAGGAGAGACAACAACATGGAGTTTGAAACATAAAATTGACGGTCTACATATCTAATGTAGCAGAGAAGGAAAAAAAGATAATCAGCCGATGGCTTATGGCAGTGGCTAGCAAAAAGGACAGAAGAGGAAGCAGGAAACAGCAAGAAATAACACAAAGAAACACACTGTGAAAAGTGCTCCACAAACAGCAGCAGTGACACTTCTGTGTTGTGTTACCGTCATGAACACAGTGAGAAGGCAGATTTTGCCTGTGCTTATGGTGAAGTAAAAATAGAGCTAAACAAACAAACACCACCATTTCCTGATGATGGTTATTTTATGACCGAAACGTGGAATTGAATTTTTTTCTTAAATAAATTTGAGAAAAGCAGTGATTGAGTGTGAGCCAGTGTTGCTCACACGCCAATCTAAACACCATTACGTAGCCGTAAATGCAGTTTGAAGGCCCAAGAGGCAGAACAGAGAACAGATCTCCAGCCGAGAGAATTTAGAATGTACGGAACAGTGGAGGCAGATCTTGATCAATCCACTTACAAATATGGTCTACTGAAGTTGTCCCAGGTTGACTAGGATGATAAAAAGTGAAAAAAAAGTAAATCATCGTGTCCGTTCCCGAAGGGAACTCACGACGGCCGCTAACACCCGGTAAACCCTAGCATAACTGCAACAACTACTGAGATAAGAGAAAAAAATAAAAAATGCAGAAATATTATGCAGAAATATTATGCAACTGAACAAATGAGCGAAGATTATTTCTCGTATCGAAAACCAAACGGAAAAAACAAATCTCCTCTGCCTTGTTCAGTGTGTGTACAGTACATAGTTGTACAATCAAACCTGTACTGGCCCAATGACATAAAGGCGAATATGGAAGGAAAGCAGCGTAGGAGGAAAGGAAATAAATGGCAGGAAGAAAAAATAACAAAGGGTAGCAATAGAGCTATTAAATGGCAAGAACACCTGCTTCCGCAACCACTAGCTCAGCAGATAGTTGTACAGTGTGTGTACATAGTTGTACAGTGTGTGTACATAGTTGTACAGTGTGTGTACATAGTTGTACAGTGTGTGTACATAGTTGTACAGTGTGTGTACATAGTTGTACAGTGTGTGTACATAGTTGTACAGTGTGTGTACATAGTTGCGCCAGAGCAGGAAACACACAAAGTGGTGTACCTGAGAATTAGGTCACGAGTATGCTTGTGCTGCTGCTACTACTGTTGCTGCTGTTGCTGCTGCTACTTCTGCTGTTGCTGTTTTTGTTGTTGCTGCTGCTGCTGCTGTGGCTGGTACTGGTGATGCTGCTGTCACTGACGATGATGATCATCCACATCATAAACTCGTAGCACTGTGAGCAGCCAGTGTGGGTCAATCTGTACAATAGTACAGCAGATATGCACACACAGACGAGGGCACCAATAATCACACACAAACGCATGCACATACCCTCGAACACCCGCACACACAAACGCCCACGTACGTACACCCACAAATGCACACCAGTACACATGTGCGCAAGCACACACACACGCAGCCGAGAAATGGCAAAAGAATGTCTGAGAAAAAATGAATGTTTAAATAGTATTTAAATGCAAGCATCACAAAAATAGAAATGAGCATGCATATTTAGGCACTGAGAGGGAGGGAGGCCAACTGAGCCGGACTGCGGTGGGCTAAGGTGGACGGTGGTGGACTGTGGTGGACTGTGGTGAACTATGGTGAACTATGGTGGACTATGGTGGACTATGGTGGACTGTGGCGAGTGTGCTGGACTATGGATGGGAGTGTGAGGATGGCGGACTCTGACTGTGGTGGACTGTGAATGTGTTTGACTGTGAATGTGGTGGTTGCGCATCGGAAAATGTGTGGCACCACTCTCCTCACTGTTGGACAATGTTATGGCCGATTCATACTTCATTTCGCGTACGGGAAAGTTATCGCGCGACCGTCGCGCGATGGCTTTACCGTACGCGAAATAGTTGAGTCCAGATCAACTTTTTCGCGGCGCGACGCGTTTCCCGTACCTGAAATGAAGTATGAATCAAGCTTTAGACTAATGTTACTATGGTATTCAGATGATGGATGTCCGCTCTGATCCCTTCATGTCAAAGTTTCAGGGGAGCACATGCAGGAAGTGTAGATAGAACTGACCAGCACAATAGCTGGATGGAGGGGGTTTGTTTATCCTCCATCATGGCAAGGTGGCCATGCCAGTCCATACTGTGACAGTTGGAGACGTGAGAAGACCTGGACACACAGACGGACACCCTAACCGAGACACCCTACCACACACACACATACACACACACGCATACACACACACACACACACATGCTCTCTCTCTCTCTCTCTCTCTCTCTCTCTCTCTCTCACACACACACACACACACAGGCACGCACAAAACAGCTGCACAAAATTTCACACTTACCATCTCTAGGCTGACGGACAGCAGGAAGCAGTATGATCATCTCTCTGTACAAAACTTCATACTTCAGGCCTTTGATGGCTGCACAGAGCTTTTTGTAGGAATCCACTCCTCCAGGATGGATGTATCCGATGATCTTGAAATTATGGTTTTCTACTGGCTCGTACTTTTCTGTGCGCATCAATTCATTGATTTCTGCCATACTGTGCAGTAGACCCTGCTTCTGAACACTCCTGCGAAACATTGCACAGGGTATTTCGCATAACTTTGGAAGTATGCGACTAGTGAAAGTACCAGTGTCGAACGGATTGTCTATAGTCGAACACAAACATTAAAAAGAGGAACAACAACAATACATCGATTTGCAAAATTTAATGTTGATCCCCAAGTTTCTCCAAAGGTCGGGCAATCCTACATCCATTTGTGTAGGTACTCAACCAGACCTACATCCATTTGTGTAGGTACTCAACCAGACCTGTTCGTAGTATGTATGCACTTGTTGTTGTTGTAGTTGTTGTTGTTGTTGTTGTTGTTGTTGTTGTTGTTGTTGTTGTTGTTGTTGTTGTTGTTGTTGTCGTCGCCATCGTCGTCGTCGTCGTCGTCGTCGTCGTTGTTCTTGTAGCCGTTTCCTTCGTTTTTAATTGAAAGAGTCAAACAGGAAGCAAGCCCAATTACATGAGAGCATAATTATGTGCGCGCAAATAAACATCTTAGAAGCAGGGCTAAATGAGAAAGCAAAGAGTTGAAGTTGAGAATTAAGAAGTGGGAGACATCCCTACTTGACCACTGATGTTCCTGTGTAGGTACATGTATGTAATATATAACTGTTACCTACAAAGGAGTGTGCTCTGAAAACTTGTTCCATTTTCGAAGTGATTCCTTTTTCATCATTTCTTCCATACTACATTTGTTTCTCCTTCGCTGTTCTTCACCACCTTCGTATCCACTCATTTTTGAACACAATAATGCCTTTGTGAAAAGACAGTTCAGCTCGTTCTGCTCATCGCAGTCCTAAAACTGTTGTCGGCTCATCGCTTATTTTAATGCATAGATATGTTGATTTTTTACATGTCTGATTTTAAAGTTCTCCGTTGAGCGGTTGGGTAGTGTTGTTGGAAGGATGTGCTGCATGTTGCGTCACACCAACCGGTGTACAGATCGTGTTAAAAGATAAGGTCAATGATTGGTGAAAAGTGGATGCGGATGGGAAAAGCAAAAGGAAAAGAGGAGGCATAGGTGAAGAGTTTGGGTGACTGTAGTGATGACATGCTAGAAATGATTCTTCACATACCTATGATTCCTGTTACAGCCGCTTGGCATGTTTCTGATGTGGATGACTCTCTAGCTGCGGCTGTGCCCATGGCTGCTGCTGTTGTGTCTGCGACTGCTGCTGTAGTGGCTGCTGCGGGTGCAACTGCATCTGCCTCGTAGTCTGCATGACCTGCTGTGTCTGCTGCTGCTGTTTCAGCATTGGTTAAAAGCAGAAGAGTTACGGGTGCGGCGGAACCGATGCGGTTAGCCAGGGCATCACCGGACCAACTCTTTGACCACCAACGAGTGTTGGCAGCTGAGGTGGTCAGGCGTCCTCTCCATACCGCGGACAAAGCATGGAAGGCTGTGGTATGGCCGGCCAAATCGACAACTGCCTCCGCGGGTCCTGAAAAAAAATAGACAAGAAGAAGGTTCTGATAGGTATCGAAAAAAGATTTAAAAAAGTTTTAGATAAAAAATGCTATAATTACATATACAGTTATAAAATTGCATGGCAGGTAACAATTCAAGGCTTGGTTGGGCCCAGCAGGGTAGCCCCAGGGTTGTAGGCTCCATTCTTGAATGAAGTTGTTTTCGGAAACTTAACTTCTCAACTCCAAACTCCAAAAACTGCGATTCAAATTAAAATTCAGATTTACATAACACCAAATTTCCAGGCCTGGCCCATCATCAGGATAATGTAGTCAGATTGTTATTCCCTTCCCATATAAGCTACCGTTTTGAAACACATTTCTCGGAATTCGAAGACTCCACTGTAGCCATCCGCTCTATCCATACATCTTCACAACACTCGGGAAGATGGGCCTTACCCGAAATGATTCCAATGATTATCTCTTTTTTTTCCTTTCAGTGATTGGAGTAGCCCAGGGACCGTCTGGAGAGTGTCGTGACGATGTACGTGCATAGAGGCTGACTATGCAGTTATTTTCGAAGATACCTCAGTTTGTAAATGGCCCAAAACCAGAACATGGAGTTTGCACTCCTCAAGCTTTCAGCATATCACAAGTTGCTGTTGTAGATGTCAATCAATAAATGGAAAGCGATATAAAAGAAAAAAAAAACTCGGCTATTTGAATATAATTTCAACTATCCACCTGTCCACATCTCCCTATTAATATGCTCAATCCTTTATCTGCTATTCATTCGTTATCTACTTCCACTGAGGTGCTCTCCACGTGGGAAACAGCTGCCCCAAGGATACGGAACAAACTTTCTCACTTTGGTTGTCTGCATGTGGGCCAAGAGCGCAGTGTGGAGCGGTTGATAGTTCAGGCGATATGAAAGATAAGATCAACAGCTGGAGGAAAAAGGAATTGGAGGTAAAAGCAAAAAAAAGGTCGAGATGGGCGTTGCAAGGATAAAGCCCAGTTGAAGTGTTTCCTGGTGGTAATCATAAAGCTAGAAATGGTTCTTCACATACCTGTGCTTCCTGTTACGGCCGTTTGGGATGTTTTCGAAGTGGATAACTCTCTAGCTGCGACTGTGTCCATGGCGGTTTCCATTTGCATCATTGTGTCTGCGACTGTTCCTGTAGCGGCTGCTGTGACTTCTGCTGTAGTGGCTACTGTGGACGACACTGTATCTGCAACAGAGACCGTAGGTGTTGCTGTGGGTGCTGCTGCCTCAGCTTTGGCAAAAGCAAGAAGTGATAGAGTGTAGAAGAGATTAGGATAGGTATGTAAAATTGTGACATAATGTAGTTATAATGTTAGAATTTCAGGTTAAAGGGGCACTCCGGCTTCATTTTCGACGCCGAGTTTTCGATGCCAAGACGAAGGTAGGTGAAAGAGAAGACCCCTCGAACAAGAACGAGTCTCGAGAAGCGATCGAGCAGGAAGACGACTTTTGAATTTCGCCGAGCGAGCGCTGATGACGTAATGAGGGATTAGCTTGCCAGTGAAAATGCATCTGCGCACATACATTTCACACACTTTTTGGCCAATTTTCAATCGAAGAGGAGGTTGTTTGCTATGTTCTCCCAACGTCGTGAGGGCTCCCACCTTCTATACCCTTCTAGGTACCCTGAAGGTCCTCCAGAGGAGAAATTATCCGCTAAATTCGTCTCGAAACATATTAATCCAGTGCAGTGCTGATAAATGTAGAATGTTGAATCTGTGATAATTGTCGACGAGAGAGAGAGAGAGAGAGAGGCTGATAGCCGCTGTCACAGGGAGAGTGAAGCTGCTGGAAGTTACAATGGGGAGCCCGTTTGTATCACCTGAACAACCAGACTTCAAAGCAGCTTGACCAAATCGGAGGGTGCCTCGTTGCTTAACGTGAATATTACACCGACATGAATTACTACAAGTATACTGGTGAGTTTTTATCTTGTTTTGTTCGTATGCTAGTACCCTGGCCTGGAGTTCTCGATAGCAAATTCCTTTTCCCTGGCGTTTTCTAAACATTCCGTGTAGTACTGAATACGTGATCAAGTATTCCGATTTGGGTAGATGTGGAATCTGGACTAGTATTTTATAAAAAATTCTATTTTCCAAATAGAGCATTCGTAGAGCAATGGTTGCCCAAATACAACAAAATTGATTCTGCAGTTCTACAACTTGTCCTGAAATCCTGTCAAAGTAAAAAATTGATGATTCTTCATGACAGTTGAGGTCAATGAAATCGGATCCAGCCATAACGAATGGTGACGCCTGCCACCCCGGGAACGAATGCCCATTTGGTGGGGGATACCAAAGTACTCGAAAGTGGTGCGTGTTTCAATTTGGCATTTGGAAGTTCTATTCTCTGGTCAATGCAACATACGATAGCCATCATGAATTGCAGGCCTCGAATGCAACTCAGACCAGAATTGGCAGTTCCCTAAGTTAGATGCTTTATAATTCCATGGCCCCAGCTGTAGTTACCGTAAAGTCGCGGATAAAAGCCGGGTTTGCATAAAAGCACATCGCGGATAGAAGCCTGAAAATCAAACGGGTCAAATGCATATAAGCCTGTCGCGCGTAGAAGCCTGGCTTCTATGCAAGCACGGATCGGGTAGGTCAAGAGTGTATGCGCGATGTACGGTGCATAGTAAAACTGTCGCCATTCCGGTAGTCAGTGGTAGATGTACGCGTGTCGCGCATATCAGTGGTGCATATAAGCATGGTTTGCATACAAGCCTGGTTTGCATTAAAGCCTGATGCAGAAAGCGGCTTATATGCTTATAAGCCTTAAGGCTTTTATCCGCGACTTTACGGTATAGAGGTTTTTTTCCACATTATTCTTATAGTCGATAGGTTTATACTGATGGCCACAAACAATGGCAGTTCAAGCAAACAACGTCAACGAGTACAAACCTCCACCGTCTACTGAAGCACCTGAAGAAACCGCCTAAGCAAACAATTCCCACACTATCGACAGCCAACTCCACTGCAGCCACGGCTATGGAGAAGGCAACAGCTCTCAACAAGTTCTTTATCTCCCAAAGCCAACAGTCCATAGACAAGACCACCTGTACTACACCAGACATCAACACTACCCCTGACATCAGTCATACTCTAAATACAATCGCAGCAACAGTGGAAGAGGTCGAGAAGCTTCTAAGCAGTCTAGACACTGGCAAGAGCCCAGGCTTTGACAACATCCCAACTCGGCTCCTGAAAGAAACTGCAAAGGAAATCTCCCCATCTCTCACTAGTCTCTACAATCTGTCCTTCAGAACCGGAGAAATACCACAGGATTGGAAAGACGCAACTATTACACCCATCCCCAAGTCGGGCAACCCCTCCCATCCTACCAACTACCGACCCATCTCCCTGCTCAGTATAATATCAAAAACACACGAAAAAATAGTCCACTCTCGTCTTTACAATCACATAGCACCGCACTTACCCTCCAACCAATCCGGCTTCAGGAAACAAGACGGGACCGAACTGCAACTCGCACGGATCGCCCACCAGATATCCACAGCTAGGGATGCGGGGAAGCATGTTGTAACGTGTTTCTTCGATCTCAGTAAAGCCTTTGATCGTGTATGGCAGCATCAAGGTTTGCTGAAAATGCTGAGCCACTACGGTGTCGACGGCAAGGCTCACAATTGGCTCGAAGCCTATTTTAAAGGACGCAGACAGCGGGTGCAGGTTGAAGGCACAACATCCGCCTTCATACCAATACCAGCGGGAGTGCTCCAGGGCTCGGTCCTGGGACCACTTCTGTTCCTGGCGTACACCATTGACCTGCCCACTGTTTGTGAAAATGCTACAACCTCGTGTAGCCAGTTCGCGGACGACACCGCACTAATTGCCATTGCAGGCAGCTACATTGAGTGTGAGGCTGCGCTACAAAGAAGCGTCGATGCCGCAGCAGAATGGCTAGAGCGCTGGCACCTGCTAGTCAATAAAATGAAAACCGTCATCCTCCCGTTCTACCATGCTAACCGACCCCCACCACGACTACCCGAAATAAAACTTGGCCAAACCTTACTAGAAACAGTAACACAACATCGTCACCTCGGCATCATCTTTCAGCACGACCTAAGATGGTCAGCCCACCTTGACTTTGTGCTGAAGAAAGCCGTAAAATCTTTTAATATTCTCTTTAGGCTCAAATCAACTCTACACACTAAATCACTCTCTCTCATTTACAAAACGTATATCCTGCCTATAATTGAATATGCATGCATTGCTGTCACCCCGCTCTCAATCGCAGCCCTTGACCGTCTTGAGCGAATCCAGCGCAAGGCAGCCAGAATCTGCCTCCGTCTCCCCCTCTACACTCCTCTGGATCATTCAACACCGCTCCATCGGCTCAAATGGCCGACAATGTTCTCTCGCCGCAAAGTGAAGCTCACCCTTCTTGCTCACTCCAAAAAATACCAATATGCCCCACAACACATACGCTTGCTCAACACCCCCGCTCAAGTTACGGCCCAGTACAGCCTTCGACACGCACGCACTTGGCACCTCCCACCCTCCAGAACCGATCGCTGTAAAGACTCCCCACTGTACAAGTCCCTAGAATACTACAATGCCCTCCCTGCTAGCATTCGTGACGTCTCCTCCCGACCTGCTTTCAAACAAGAAATCTGCTCACTGCTGATTAACTCAATCTGCTCCTGCAGCGCTCGCCCTCTCCCATACTTGTAAAGTTCAAAGTGATGTAAATCACTTTCCAACTGTTTAACCCACAATCTCACCTTCTCATAAATTTATCTCTTATTGGCGATGGTGCCATCGTGCGAATAAAGAATTCAAAAAAAAAACTTTCACTGATGTGTTCATGAGGATTCTTCAGCAATTTGTGCCACTGCAAAAGACAACGCTTGACTCGGTATCTGGGGCTGACAAACTTCCCATTGCAAATGAACTTCAATTTCTCATGTGTTTCAAGTATATGTACTGCCATGAATTGACCATGCTTCATCCACAGCTGGGCGAAGATTGTGGCGTTGAATTCCATAGCGCACCTTCTTGCTGCCATGCAGGAGTATGTTGAGAGAAGTGAACATATTTTTACTAAAAACAACAGCCACTGAAGAGGATAGCAATAGCCTTGGGTGAATTTCCTGCATGTACACGTTGTTGGTAGGTCTACTGGTCGGTCTCCATATCGTCAAGTTCAGAAATCACCTGTCCTACACTACACATCTTGTAGAAGGGATCCTGATCGAATAATTTTCTGGTCAAAAAATTCACTAAACTGAGGGCGAGACAAATAGTCAGTACTCCCCGATTCCGTCAAGCTGCTTTGAAGCTCATGTGATGCTAACAAGCTCCCCGTTGTTACTTCCAGCAGCTTCACTTTCCCTGCGACAGCGGGTATCAACCTCTCTATCCATGGTCGACAATTATCACAGATTCAACATTCTACATCAGCACTGCACTGGGTGAATATGTCTCGAGACGAATTTAGCGGATCAACAACGCTTTGCTGGAGATAAATTCTCCTCTGGAGGACCTTCAGGGTACCTGGAAGGGTATAAAAGACGGGATCGCTCACGACGTTGAGAGAACATAGAAAACAACCTCCTCTTCGATTGAAAATTGGCCAAAAAGTGTGTGAAATGTATGTGCGCAGATGCATTTCCACTGGCAAGCTAATCCCTCATTACGTCATCAGCGCTCGCTCGGCGAAATTCAATAGTCGTCTTCCTGCTCGACTCGAACGCTTCTGGAGACTCGTTCTTGTTCGAGGGTTTTTCTCTTTCACGAACCTTCGTCTTGGTATCAAAAACTCGGCGTCGAAAATGAAGCCGGGGAATGGCAGGGAGCAATTAAGGGCTTGGATGTGCCCAAAAGATTAGCCAAATGGCTGCACACTCTATTCTTGAATGAGGTTGTTATTCCCTTTGCATGTAAGCTGACCATGCAGTTATTTTGAAGAACATGTCAGGATAGCGTTTCTTGCTATAATGTGCGTACCATAATTATATCACCAGGCAGGCACAGTGGGTTGGTCAAAGACCATGATTGAGATACGAGAGGTACCTGGTTCAAGTCCTGCCTGGGAGCGGTTTTTCCAGCCGTGCTGCTACCCACAGTCAACTGGGAACTTGTGGCCAGGCACAAGGGGTACATGGATGCAGCTAATGGGGTCGTTTTCGGCACTTGTGCCAGTGGTTGTGAGGCTTACCCACTCACCCCCACCGTTAGGCGCTGCATCTGCCGCTAGGGTTTATCGGGTGTTAGCGGCCGTCGTGAGTTCCCTTCGGGAACGGATACGATAATTTACTTTTTTTTAAATAATTATTATCTCTAATATAAGCGCGGTCCTTTACTTTTTTCAATGTACCTCCGCCCCGTGATATTAATGGAGACGGTCCTTTATTCCAGTAGCTATGCAGAAGACGTTACTTCAGTAACGTCTGGCGCTAGCCAGGGTCCACACAGCTTTAATTTGGTGTTTGTTTGTGTGTTTGTGTCACGCCTGGCGCTATCCCGTATCTGTCCCGTACCGTACCGTACCATCAAACACAGCTGGCCACATACAGCTGGCCGCACTATTCAAATAGGGCTTTCAAACGCAAGATCATAACGTGAAGCAACTTGGAAGAATGAGTATGAATGCGAAGTGTATGGGGGAATGCATGTAGACGGGTTCGAATCCCAGGTAATGCCTAAAAAAAAATAGGAAAATTGAAAAATTTATAACATCCCTATTCTTTTCTTGCCGTCGTCGACTTGGAAGCTGAGACCGAATACTAGCAAGACCAAAGTGATGTTCTTCTGTAGCGGTGCTAGTGATCAGTTCTGTAATGTGTCTTTATCATGTCCTGGCAGCTCATCGACCATAGAAATTATCCATGAACATAAGCACCTTGGTATAATTATTGACGACTGTCTAACATGGGCTCCTCATGTAGACTATATTTGCAAGAAAACTAGTAGTGTTCTCAGCATACTATATCCTCATCGTTCTCATCTGCCAAATACATGCCGTTCTATGTTTTATCGCTCGTATCTATTACCTATTTTCCAGTATGCATGTCAGTCTTGGTGTAGTCTAAGTCAACATCTTGTGAACAAACTTGAAATCCAACATAAATCTCTTCTTAAAATATTGTTTAACAAGCAGCGTATATTTCCTAGTCTTGAGCTCTATTGTATCTGCAATACTCAGCCACTGCAAGATAATCGCAAACAGCAGCTTTGCATTTTGATCCACAGAATTTGCCTAGGTAAAATTCCCATTCATCTCTCCGTATTTAATTGGTTTTCTCTGTCCCGGTCCACTCGTAATAGTCTCTCACTTTCCTGTGCTAATTCAGCCGCATTTACCAACTCTCCTCTGTTTTTGTCCTACAGCCTTTGGCTGCAACTTCCCCAGCATGTTAAGGCATCAAAATGTCTTTCCAGCTTTAAAAATGCACTCCGATCGCATAATGTAGTACGATAGGACCTCATTGCTGGATTCTTGTCTATCCTTCTTTCTTCTCTTTTTCTATATTCCTTTCTTTTCTTTTTTTGCCGTGGTTGGCTATCACCCCTCTCTCGCACTTTGCGTGCCAATTGGTCATGGACCACGAGTTGAGTGAAATAAATAAAATAAAAAAAATAAAAAATCAAGGTGGTAGATGGTGTCGTATTGTAGTATCCCTGCCCGACCAATACGGAAGTAGTACAGAACTAATACGGAGCTTTGCCTCATGTATAGTTAGTGTATCTCCGTATGTAAGCGTACGGCGTCTGCTGCATAAAAGCTGCTGCGCATTTCTGTTTAGATTAGATTTTGATAATAACGAGCTATTCAACCTCCAGGTGTGCACCGGAGAGAAAGTCAGTTATTTTGCCGCTTCTTCTTTCACTAATAATTATATCTCAGGTGTGTACCTGAAAGAAGTAGAATAAAAGTAATTCTTGTTGATTTCACCGCGCCTACCACTCGGCTACCCATTACATTGGTGGCAGCGGTGTAGTTTTAAAAAACCCAACGTGATTCGACCCCAGACCCCATGGCTCAACCCGCTGCAGCTCCGTGCGACGAATTAAGATGAGAATCATGTTTCTTGCCTTCCTGGGATTGGCCCTACTTATTAGCTTGCAGCACAGTCAGGGTGCTAGCGTGGATCACCCTTCTCTCCGCACGGCACTCTCTGGAGACTCCGATGGCGATTCCAAGCGACCCGCTCCCTACATGTATACTACCGGTGGTGATGGCGAAGCTGATGAGAACGACGACATGCAGGCTGCTGACCAAGACAAGGAGGGTATTCCCCAAGACCAGCAGCGTTTGATTTTCGCCGGCACGCATTTGGCAGACGGCCGAACCCTGAGTGACTACAACGTTCAGCAGGAGTCCACTCTTCACTTGGTACTTCGTCTCCGTGGTGGGATGCAGATTTTCGTCAACACTCTTCCTGGCTGGACCATCACTCTTTACGTCGCGCAAAGCGATGCTATCAACAATGTGAAGACCACGATTCAAGACGAGGAGGGAGGTTACTTGTCTGACGCCGAGCTAGCCGCTCTGAGTGCCCGGCTCAACCAAGACGAAGATAAAACCTGGCTCGCCCTCCGCTGTAGCTCCAGCCGCCGCCGTGGTTACTAACGCTGATTCTAGGTATGGCATTTTCTTTCCTCTCTTCCTTCAGTCTCCCTGTTCTTTTCAGTCTTCCTTTATGCGAGTGTGTGAATCCAGTTTAGTTTGGTAGGCGTCTGATCATGGTGAGCCACGGTTTACCCAGCTAACGTGGGACAATGTGTGTGACAACGCCCCTTATAGTTATAGTGTAATCAGTTCGGTTTTTGAACTGCGATGTTCCTGGCGGGTTGTGCCAGCGTAGTGCAGCAAGAGTGCTGTGGTTTCAGGTCCTATTTGAGGACAGTTCTTTCCCTTTTGACCCCGTGAGCTCGTTTGAACCTTTTACTTCTATTTTATGATTTGTTATCAGTTCATTTCTTCTGTCTACTCTAAACGTTATCATTTCCGATATAATTTGCCATCTTCCGGTTGACGCTGTTGTTCATAACTCTTCACTAATTTTTGAAAATCACGAGGGCGTGATTATCTGTAGGAAGGGAGGGTGTAGTATCCCTGCCCGACCAATACGGAATTAGTACGGAACTAATACGGAGCTTTGCCTGATGTATAGTTAGTGTATCTCCGTATGTAAGCGTACGGCGTCTGCTGCATAAAAGCTGCTGCGCATTTCTGTTTAGATGAGATTTTGATAATAACGAGCTATTCAACCTCCAGGTGTGCACCGGAGAGAAAGTCAATTATTTTGCCGCTTCTTCTTTCACTAATAATTATATCTCAGGTGTGTACATGAAAGAAGTAGAATAAAAGTAATTCTTGTTGATTTCACCGCGCCTACCACTCGGCTTCCCATTACAGTATTACCCTCGACCGTACCTGTCCCGTACCTGTCCCGTACCTGTCCCGTACCTGTCCCGTACCTGTCCCGTACCGTACCGTACAATCAAAGACGGCTGGCCACAATGCATATTCAAATAGTGCTTTAAAATACAAGATCATGACGTGAAGCAACTTGGAAGAATTAGTATGTATGCGAAGTGTATCGGGGGTCCGGAGATGCATGCAGGGCGATAGTGCAGGTTCGAATCCCAGGTTATGTCTAAAAACAAAAAGTAGAAATTTATAACATCCCTATGCTTTTTTTGTCTAGGTCATCAAGGCAAAAAAGCATAGCGTAGGGTCCTGAGCTTCCAAGCTCTCTCGTTGGAGACTGTTCCATTATTATTTCATCCTCATTTCAGAGACATATTGCCATGTCAAATTAATGTCAGACACACACATTTCCGGGGTTTTTCGCCGGTACAGATAATGAATTTTCACAGTGTGCTTATAATGGAGACTGAGCACTTTATTTTTTGAATGCCGCCCCAAGGTGTTCTATTATTGGAGACGTGCTATTATTGGAGAGTGTGCTTATAATTATTAGAGATAATACGGTATGCAAGTTTCAGACCACCGTCTCTAACATGTCCTTTCCTTGTAGTGTTTGTAATCTTGGTAGTGCAATCAGTAACTGATAGCTTGTGCAGGTGTAGGGAGAGGTGAATGATAGTTGCGGGTTAGATTTGTAGGGTTTGGATGTAGTAATCACATGCTAGAAATGGTTCTTCACATACCTGTGCTTCTTGTTACGGCCACTTGGCATGTTTCTGATGTGGATGACTCTCTAGCTGCGACTGTGTCCATGGCTGTTGCCGTTTGCATCATTGTGTCTGCGACTGTTGCTGTAGCGGCTGTTGTGACTTCTGCCGTAGCGGCTACTGTGGACGACACTGTATCTGCCACAGAGACCGTAGGTGTTGCTGTGGCTGCTGCTGCCTCAGCTTTGGCATAAACAGGAAGAGATAAAGTGAAGAACAGAATCAGATAGGTATGAAAGACTGCGACATATGTAGATATGATGTTAAAATTACGGGTTAGAGAATGGCAGGGAACGGTTCAGGACTTGGCTGTCCCCAAAGGTTTAGCCCAACTGTTGTAGACTCTATTATTAATTGAGGTTGTTATTCCCTTTGCTTAGAAGCTGACCATGCAGTTATTTTGAAGCTATGTCAGGATAGCATTGCATGTCATTGTGTGCGGATGCAACTTTCAGACCACCATCTCTAAAGCCTAGTTCACATTCGACGGGGCGCGACGGGACGCGACGTAAGGATCGACGGGAATCGACGGGACGACCTGATGGCGTTCAATGTGAACACCAGGAACGGGAATGCAACCATACTATCGTACAGATCGGGAAGCGACGGGAAGAGTTGGATCGATCCAACTTTTTATACAGTAGACGGGCGTAGACGGGGACGCAAGCGTTCAAAACGGCTGCAATTCGAGTGTGAACAGGAGACGGCGTCGTGCGCCAACTACTCCCGATTCGTACTTGGATATTTTTAGCATTTCGAACACTGCGCTTCCCATGAAAACTCACAGAATGGCTAGCACGACTTGAGTTGAATTTTAGCAACATAAGATCTCTTGTCACTTATTGTATTTAGGGATAGTTCAGAAGCGTGACAGACGAACTATTCTATCATTTCCTGGGGCTATTATTTGAATGCCACAACTTTCAGGGCTAATTTTTTGATCTTCATGACAAACTGGTATTGTGAACTTGAGTCCGCTTCTTTCAAGGAGAAATAATTGAAAAGAAGTCCCGAAAAACGAGAAATTACATGTAGGTCCGAAAGTCACCCCGTCACGGACCGTGCCTTATGACTCGCGCCGTTCGACGTTGAACGTCGCAACGACTGCTGCATGTCGCGTCGTACGAATCGTACAGGATTTTACAGCTCACCCCAGCCCTCCCGACAAGCCCTTACGTCCCGTACCCACGGCGTTGCGTCGAATGTGAACTAGGCTTAACATGTCCTTTCTGTGCAGTGCTTCCAATCTTTGTAGTCCAATTAGTAAGAGACAGTTTGTAGATGGCCCTAAACTAGAACATGGAGATTGCACTCCTCTAGCTTTCAGAATTTCAAAAGTTGGTATTGCAGTTGACAAAAAATCAGATGGAACTCATTTTAAAGATTAAGCCAACAGCTGAAGTAAAGTGATTGCCGAGACGAAAAGCGGAAACCTCAAGAAAGTAAGGATGAAGGTCGAGATGGATTGTAAAAGGGTAAAGCCAAGGTGAAGGGTTTGGGTGTGGTAATCACATGCTAGAAATGATTCTTTACATACCTGTGCTTCCTGCTACGGCCGCTTGGCATGTTTCTGATGTGGATGACGCTGTAGCTGCGACTGTGCCCATGGCCGTTGCCGTTTGCGGCATTGTGTCTGCGACTGTTCCTGTAGCGGCTGCTGGGACTTCTGCCATAGCGGCTACTTTGGACGACACTGTATCTGCCACAGAGACCGTAGGTGTTGCTGTGGCTGCTGCTGCCTCAGCTTTGGCATTAACAGGAAGAGATAAAGTGAAGAACAGAATCTGATAGGTATAAAAGATTGTGATATATGAAGTAACATAGTAAAACTGGTGTAAGCGACCTCTGGGTTTAGCCACATACTGCTCCTAGTGACTGTTATTCCATGCACCGACAGTTCTACAGGTTAGAGAATGGCAGGGAATAGTTTCGGGTTTGGTTCTGCCAAAAAGGTTAACCCAATGGTTGTAGACTCTATTCTTAAATAAGGTTGCTATTCCCTTTTCAATAATAATAATAATGCAATAATAATAATAATAATAATAATAATGATGTGCATGTACAAGACTTCGTGAGTATTCAACTCAAATTCGTGTTCCGTCAGCGTCAGTATCAGCAAGTACAGTCATGTAGTACAATTTGTTCCCAAAATAACTTCGGGACAGTCTGTTCATGGTTTTCATTTGTATTGGACTCGTTCTCTACACTTGCGATAATTTAGCGGCAATTCTAACGTTGTAGCGTTGTTCTCTTGTAATTTAGTGGAACCTGTATTGAGTAACTGAGTTTTATGTTTCGTTACATTGTCGTCAGATCTCCTGTGTACCGGTTTTGTGGCACAATGATTATAGCCATTATATTTGGTCGTCTCCATTCTTGTGCAATCATGCGTACATGTATGTAGGTTGGTTCTCTTCATGTTATTGTGACCAATTTCATAGATGTTGGTTGCCTTGTTGCTTTCTCTCCCCTCTCCTCTCACCCAAGCCATTCTGCATAAGCGAAGCTGTGGACGCAGCATACTGCTGCTACACTTCAACGCGGGAATGCGTATAATAATAATAATAATTCCCTTTGCAGTGAACCTGACCATGCAGTTATTTTGAAGAACATGTCAGGATAGCGTTTCATGCCAAAGTGTGCGAATGAAACTTTCAGACCACCGTCTTTAACATGTCCATTCCTTGTAGTGTTTGTAATCGTTGTATTCCACTCAGTAACTGATAGTTTGTAGATGGCCCTGCACCACAACATGGAGATTGCACTCGTCTAGCTTTCAGCATATTTTCACAAGTTGGTGTTGCAGATGACAATAAATAAGACGTAACCAATTTGAAAGATTAGGTCAACTGCTGGTGCAAAGCGATTATAGAAAGGAAAAGCGTAAAACTCGACAAAGTGAGGATGAAGGTAGAGATGGACGGTAAAAATGGCGAAGGGCAGGTGAAGGGCTTGGGTGTGGTAATCACACACATCGTCGGATGGTTGCCGCACTTTGCCTCCTGTACAGGATGAATTGTCCAGATGCAAATCCCCTTTTACAGAGGATGTTGCCACCCTAGCATCCCCATCACCGATCAGTCCACTCCACGCGTAACATGTTTCAGAGATGTAATGCCCATATGCCCCAACTGGCAAATAAACTTCCAGTCCGGTCCCGAAACAACCTGTGTCGAGCCTACCCTCACACAGTTGTCCCTGTCTGGAACCAGCTGCCTGTCGGAGTCTTCTCTGGTCCGTTCTGCACCAAGAGCAGTTCAACTTGCAACATTTCAAGGTTGCAGCCAACCGCTATTCGAAGACCAACGATTGATCGTGAGCACATCGCCATCTCTGAGTATCAGCATCATGTCTGCCTTATATCTGCCTCCCCTGTGACTTTCAAATTCCGCTCCACATACTCCTTTCAATGATGTCAGTTCTTCTTTCCTCTCCTTCTGCTAACACTGTCTGTCCTATTTTTCTCCTTCTCATCACGGTCCTGTCTCTCCGAACATTTCACTTCATGTACCTGTCACTCCGTTCATTGTTCTTATTCTTTTTTTTTGGTGCGTTTTATGCCCCCATGACGCCGAGACCTCAGGTCGGCTGAGGGCAAAAAGCTTCACCATCACTATGCTCCCACTATGTATTTTTCTGTCTTTGCCTATGAGCTGTGATCACTGTAAGGAAAACCATGCTAGAAATGATTCTTCACATACCTGTGCTTCCTGTTACGGCCACTTGACATGTTTCTGATGTGGATGACTCTCTAGCTGTGACTGTGTCCATGGCTCTTGCTGTTTGCATCATTGTGTCTGCGACTGTTCCTGTAGCGACTGCTGTGACTTCTGCCGTAGCGGCTACTGTGTGCGCCAAGTTGTCTGCGAGTGTGGTCGTAGCGGCTGCTTCATGTGTCACAGTATCTGCCGTAGCGCCTACTGTGGACGACACTGTATCTGCCACAGAGACAGTAGGTGTTGCTGTGGCTGCTGCTGCCTCAGCTTTGGCACAAACAGGAAGAGATAAAGTGAAGAATCTGTTAGCTATGAAAGATTTTGAATGCCCAATGGCTGTAAATTCTATTCTTCCGTGAGGTTGTTATTACCTTAACCTAGAAGCTGACCATGTAGTTATTTTTAAGCTACGTCAGTATAGCGTTTCATGCCATAGTGTGCAGATGCAACTTTCAGACCACCATCTCTAACATGCTGTCTGCATTCGCCAACTTTTCATTAGATCTGCCTCTTTTGTTTGCGAATTAAAATAAACACAAAAACAAGCAACAACATGTCCTTTCCTTGCAGTGCTTGTTATCTTTGTAGTCCAATCAGTAACTGACAGTTTGTAGATGGCCCTAAACTAGAACATGGAGATTGCACTCCTCTAGCTTTCAGCATTTCACAAGTTGGTGTTGTAGGTGACAATTAAAGACATGGAACTCATTTTAAAGATTAAATCAACAGCTGGAGCAAAGCGAATATCGCGAGGAAAAGCGGAAAACTCGACAAAGTGAGGATGAAAGTCAAGATGGATCATAAAAGAGTAACGGCCAGGTGAAGGGTTTGGGTGTGATACTCACATGCTAGAAACGGTTCTAGCTTTCAGTGTATCAAAAGTTGGGGGTAGCGGCTGTCAATCAACCGTTGGAACCAATGGATTGTAAAAGTGTAAAGCCCAGTGGAAGTGTTTGCACGTGGTAATCATAATGCTAGACATGGTTCTTCACATACCTATGCTTCCTGGTACGGCCGCTTGGCATGTTTCGGATAAGGATGACTCTGTAGCTGCGACTGTGTCCATAGCTCTTACCGCCAGTACTTTGTGCACCAAGTGTAGGAATGCTCTCCTCAGCTCGTTCATACTGGAACTGCTGGAATTTCTGGCATCAACTACTCTCACAAAGGCAAGCTCCAAACGCTGTGAACATGATTTCATCCCTTCCACAACGGCCCTTTCTACTTGGTTGCGTTGGAAAGGAGTAAGCAGATCTGCACGTGTAGCAATAGCCACAACGTCTAGTTTCCGCTGGTGCCCACCTGCCTGTTGTGTGTGTAATTGCGACTGCAGCTGCATTGGCAATGGTTGCTGCTGTTGGCCATCCAGTTCAGAACCTGCGTATGAAATCACAAAATGGACTCAATTTCTTTTTTCCCTTTCGAGATGATCAAACGAAACTATTTTCATCACAATGTGACTAGTCCAGTGGAGTAAATGTGGAAACGCGACGGCAGCCACATTACTCGCTGAATGATACGATGGTAAAGGCACACTTGACATAAAAAACAGTAAAGAAAAAAATTCCTGTGTCCGTTCCCGACGGGAACTGACGACGGCCGCTAACACCAGGTAAACACTTAGCACAGAAAAGAGGTAAAAACAAATTCCAAAAACACACTCTACATTCTGGCACAGAACTCTCCTTCTCAGCGCCACCTACCCGATCAATTTTGTGCATGGTGGCTGCTCAAAGATTGGCTATTATATCTGACATAGAGGGCTGGGCAATACATTATGTAATAAAAATAGAAGAAATCACATGGAAACGAGTTATGAAGCCACTATCCACTACTGTAACAAGATAATACGCTGTCATTGCACCTCCTACTGCTTATTATCTTGTTACAGTCGTGGATAGTTGCTTCAGAACTCGTTTCCATGTGATTTCTTCTATTTTAATTATATATATTGGCTCAGTATCCGAGTTAAATACATTATGTGATTGAAACAGAACGATGCGGCTACTTTTGACTTGCTGATGGGATTTCTTTGGACACGACTGTAGTACATTGTTATCCACTCACCATCATCAGATGTTGATTGTCTACACGCATAACTAGCAGCAGTTGCACTGACACGTTTCGTGATCTCTTCAACCGACTCTGTGCCATCCACCACGATCGTGGCAACAGATGGTGCTGTCATGGCAACAGCAAATAAGTCGTGTGACGCAGAATAATGGTCGTGGCCTGCAAAGTCGCGAAAACGCACGTTCACCTGCGAATGCTTGCACATGGTTTCTTCAATTCCCTACATGGAAAAAAAATTGAAAAATGAAAGTATGCCGTAAGAAAGTGAACACTGTGTGAATTACACCCATCTCACTAACATAATAGTGGTCTACAGTAACAGTATAGTAATGCTATGTGTAGATAATGCACATTTGAAGTATAATACCGCATGACAATATATTACATTGTCATGCCACATTGTACTTCTGTGTACTGTATTATTATTCTGATCACAAGGTGCTATTTGTAGTAAAGAAAAGGACCAAGGAATTGCAAGTTATGCTATAATGTCCACTAACACCACCAGTCACTTGCCAACCAACTCATATGATAAGATTGCACGACACTGACCGACAGTACTGACGTTCTACAACTACTTAGTAACTGACCATCAGCTCTAGCACGTCTTGGGTGCGCACTCCAACAGCCTTCCAACTTGGAAGGTTCTAAGATATACAAAAACAAAGGATGGGGGAAGGTGAGCGCAACCAAGACAAGCACAAGCTGAAAGTCTCTGCTGTGAAGGACGTTGGTGGATGTTCATGCATGTCAATGACGATACTGGCAAGACCATTCCTATGTTTTCATCTAACTTAGAACCTTCCAAGTTGGAAGGCTGTTGGAGTGCGCACCCAAGACTTGCTAGAGCTGATTTGTATTTGTATTTGTATTTATGGATTCTCCACAGGCCTTAGCCTAAATCGAGGGAGTCTCCGTCAACAGCTTATGAAGAAGAAGCTGAGGTGAGAAATATAAAATAGGAAATAGAATGATGCGGGGTGGTAGTAATATAACACAGTGCTCTATGACTTCGCTACTCTACGTGGAATGAAACCAGAGGGCTCATAATGGCTGATAGCAAAGTGTGTGTGGACAAGAGCGGTAACACATTTTGGGCTGGATACAGTACGAATGGCAGCCGGGAGGGAGTTCCATGTGGCAGTGGTGACAAAGAGAAAGGTGGCACGGGTGTGTGTGCTGGCTCTAGCAGGTGGGAGTAGATGTTGGGGGCGCCTGGCGCTGTTTGACACTGAGTAGCCTAGGTCCTCCAGGGTCGTCATCTGGCTATTGATAAGGTGGTGGAGCTCAAGAAGGCACTGAATGTGTCTTCGCCATGCGAGGCTGGGCCACTGGAGGTGCGCGAAAAGTGAGGCTTTCGGCTCCGTTTGAGGAGGGTATACGCCATACTGCCCCAGGATCACACATGCCACTCTTGCCTGTAGCCGTTCAAGGGTAGTAGCCTGAGCACTGGAGAGTTGAAATTGCCAGAGGGATGAGGCGTATTCAACCACAGGTAGAACATATCCAGTGTACAAGCAGCTGGCTACGGCTGGGGTGATACGCTTAGTCATGTGGATAGCTAGTTAGTTGTAGAACGTCAGTACCAAAGTGTTAGGAAATTTGAGGCCACATGCCACATACTGCTCTTTTCTCTCCGAAACTCAACACTTGCAAGCCAGATATGAAAGGAAGAAAAAATCATCAGTCACACCACCGGGACTCGAACCAGGGACCTTGCTATTCGCGAGCAATGCTCTAACCAACTGAGCTACAGTATGACTCTTATCCACAGTGATGGTAAATCTATCCTTCTTCGGTCAATCAATATCTGGCTTGCATCATACTGGCAACTCACACCAATCAAGAGGGCCCTCGGCCATTCGCTTGATATCATGGGGAGCGCATCAAACTATGTCCACTGCGAGCAAATACAAATTGCAATTTCAAATTTGGACTTCACAGAGAATTTTCAAAGTGTTAGGAAATTTGAGGCCACATGCCACGTACTGCTCTTTTCTCTCCGAAACTCAACACTTGCAAGCCAGATATGAAAGAAAGAAAAAAATCATCAGTCACACCACCGGGACTCGAACCAGGGACCTTGCTATTCGCGAGCAATGCTCTAACCAACTGAGCTACAGTATGACTCTTATCCACAGTGATGGTAAATCTATCCTTCTTCGATCAATCAATATCTGGCTTGCATCATACTGGCAACTCACACCAATCAAGAGGGCCCTCGGCCATTCGCTTGATATCATGGGGAGCGCATCAAACTGATGATTTTTCTTTCTTTCATATCTGGCTTGCAAGTGTTAAGTTTCGGAGAGAAAAGAGCAGTACGTGGCATGTGGCCTCAAATTTCCTAACACTTTGAAAATTCTCCGTGAAGTCCAAATTTGAAATTGCAATTTGTATTTGCTCGCAGTGGACATAGTTTGATGCGCTCCCCATGATATCAAGCGAATGGCCGAGGGCCCTCTTGATTGGTGTGAGTTGCCAGTATGATGCAAGCAAGATATTGATTGATCGAAGAAGGATAGATTTACCATCACTGTGGATAAGAGTCATACTGTAGCTCAGTTGGTTAGAGCATTGCTCGCGAATAGCAAGGTCCCTGGTTCGAGTCCCGGTGGTGTGACTGATGATTTTTTCTTTCTTTCATATCTGGCTTGCAAGTGTTGAGTTTAGGAGAGAAAAGAGCAGTACGTGGCATGTGGCCTCAAATTTCCTAACACTTTGAAAATTCTCTGTGAAGTCCAAATTTGAAATTGCAACGTCACTACCGTCGTCAGTTTTGTGCAATGTCATCGCATGAGCTGATTGTCAAGTAACTGGTTGTGTTAGTGGACATTATAGCGTAACTTGTAGTTCCTTGGTCCTTTTCTTTACTATAAATTAATCATTGCCTCAATCATTGGCTCTCCATCCGAGTCTATACATGGTGGTGTATTAGTTGTGTACCCACAATTGTGTTGGTGGGGTGGTAGTAATTTGGACTAACAATACATTCATCCAAATCACACTCTATCCTATGTACTGCAGTGTGCATTCCACTTTGCTTGCAACTCACCTTTGTTGGGGATGCTAAATCTTTTGCCTTCATGTCCGGTTGATGCTCCTTGCGTAGTAGTTTATTGAAGAAACCTTTTGCTGTAAAGGATGCAATGAAGGTAGATTTTCCTGAACCTTCTGCTCCACACACATTGGTAATCAGTTCAGTAGGATGGTTGTAGCGCACAATACCAAACTCTGCACATGTCAAGCTGGTCTGGAGCATACAATTTCATCACATAACAAAAACAACAAGCAACTGACGCTCTTTGACTTCCTTAGCTTAAGTTCTGATTGACCCCATTTCACTATCCAACATATCTTTTATCTTTATCCCTCTGCAGTGGATGTGTGGGCGCTAATAGTGGGCGCTGCATTTCCGTATACATGTCTTGTTCTCGTCTTGTTTTTCTTTTTCTCTTATGCAGGCAGGCATAGTGGGATGGTCTAAGACCATGATTGAGAAACAGAGGGTACCAGGTTCAAGTCCTGCTTGGAAGCGGAAGGATTTTTTCCAGCCGTGCTGCGACCCACAGTTAATTGGGAACTCGTGGCCTGGCACGAGGGAAACATGGATGCAGTGAATGGGATTTCGGTCTTTGACCACTTTGTGGTGGGTCTGATCTACTCACCTCCCACCGTTTAGGAGCTGCATCTGCGCCTTGATCCAAGAGGGTGGTGGCGTTCCTGCGGATGCGGAAAACTGGGCCTTTGGCCGAGTCTCACGCGAACCGTGAATTTTTTTTATTTTTTATGTATTTAAACAATCGACGAGGAGACAATAGTCGTAAATGGCAATAAATAAGATAAATTGTGCACTCATAACACATTGCAAAGGTGCAAACTTCGCTTTTTGTACTTGTTAGCTGCTGTATTTCTACCTGAAACCATATTAGCTACATGTATATAAGTGTGTGTTTTAGTTATTACATTTTTATGTGACGGCGTTCCACTGATGACAGTCACAAGAAAACGTTATGGAACTTGACTTTCTTCATTTTTGCTGTTGTTATGAGTGCACAATTTATCTTATTTATTGCTATCTCTCTTATGTCCTTCTCTATTTTTCTTGGCGCGCTTTGTCTGTGCAGACGCCGAGACCACCAAGGTCGGCTGAGCAGCAGGGTCCCGCCACCACTTTCCGCATTCATTCAGGAGCATAGTGGACTTAGTAAACACCTACACACACACACACATACACATGCACACACACACACACACACACACACACACACACACATACACACGCACACACATACACACGCACACACACACACACACACACACACACACACACACACACACACACACACATACACACACACACACATACACACACACACACACACACACACACCATTGGACCATTGGACACCCATCGCCGGAGGCGATGATAGCGATGCTACAGCAGAAGCCATAGCAACTTGTGCTGGGATTGCACCATTCAACAGCTTGCAAGGCTGAAGAATTGGCCGCCACTATTCAGCCTGGTCTACCGTATTTCCGCAAATAAAAGGCCGTCCTCGTATACAACGCCTTCCTCGTATACAAGGCCGGGGCAGGGGCGATTGAAAAAATAAAAGACCGTCTCCGATTAGAAGACCGGGCCTACTAAATGAGTCTTTGTTCTTGTGTTAAAAATAGAAGACCATGCTCAAACTGTGGGAAAAAATAGAAGACCGTGCTTAAACTGTGTAGAAGAAAATGGAAGAACGGGGGTAAAACTGTGTGGCGAGAAATAGAAGACCAGGGTCAAACTGGGTTGAAAGAATAAAAGACCGTCCTCGAATACAAGACCGTCCTCGATTATAAGGCCGGGTTAGGGCGAGGTTGAGAAAATAGTAGACCGGCCTACTATTTGTGGAAATACGGTACACCACACAGCTATGAAGTGGCTTTTTCTGGCCAGTGAATCCCTACTTTTTGGTCTTTTTTTATTTTTTTTCCCTCACACACATCACACCACATACTCCGGCATGCACTGGCTGTTGGTAACCACCCAGGAGAATGAAAGAAAAGTCAGGAAGAGGCTGAGAAAGAGAAGACAGACGTGTGTGGCCATAATCGTCGGGAATCGAACCCGCAACCTATCGATTGGAAATCGCTGCACATACCACTGCACCATATGGGACACACACACACACACACACAAACACACACACACATACACACACAAACACACACAAGTACACACAAGTACACTGATACACATCACGTAACATGTATACGCCTGTCACAAGAGAAGCACACAGATCTGCAAATGAGATGTAACTATTGCTTGTTATCATCCTGTTTGCGCTTCCCTTCTCCTCATTGGATTTCCCTAACCTGTGCTTTCCACCTTGGAATGTTGTTCATTTTTCGCTTTGGACATGTGTCAGATCTAGGTGTCAGGGCGTTGAATGTCTCAGTATCCCGTCAGTTTTGTGCTTTATACATCTTCTAATTGTATTTTATTTGATCTGGTTACATCGATTGGCTCGTTACACACAACTTGTACCAATCTGTCTTTCCTCTCATCCATAAGCAAATATAGTAAAACATGGTGTAAGCGATCTCTGGGTTTAGCGACCACCTGCTCTTAACGACCATTTTTACATGCACCAACAGCTCTACACAGACACTGTGGGACCTAGTTCTAAAGGCCACCTGGCTTTAACGACCGTTTTTGCTTGCACCGTGGTACCGTGGTACCGTGGTACCGTGGAGTGGTCGCTTAAACCAGGTTTTACTGCAGTTAGAAATGCTAAGGAATGACATTTCTAACCTTGACCAAGTCCAATATTGGCATTCTTTCCTTCTTTTCAGCTATTCTCTCGACTTCCTCCACGATCTCCTTGGCCTGGATTGGAAACACAGAATCAATATTTTGTATAGCAATACACTCTTCACTGTCATCAATTTCACTGGTCACAATAACCATTGTATAACAAAACAAGAAACACTCAGAAAAGCACCGACCACTTTACTTGTTACACCGTATATAGCACAGGTGCACAGTAAGACATGAGAGACCTTTCAGACAACGCTCAATACCCTTTATGTACGGAGTGTACAGACTGAATTTGATTTCGACTCACCTCAAATTCCATACTTCTCTGGGCCATAACTTCACTCTCCTTTTGACGATTTTTTCAATCTTGGGCTTCCTGGAAAGCCAGTCGCAAGAGGGACACATTGAGCCCACGCTTGCCACCACGAAGGTCAAAACGCCAGCGCTACAGCCCAGCGTCTTAGCTGCAACGCCAATATTCCGACAGAAGTCGTCTTGTATCAGCCATTTCGCTCTCCTTGCTCGTAACAACTAAACTGTTACTTCAAAAAAATTTACAAACTACCATGAGTCCGTTTACCATTTTGAACGTTTTTCTACGTCACTGCATGGCCAGAATGATGGAGAAATCCCTCATTCAAATCTGCGCGAGCGACTATTGCGCGACATTTTCCGCAATTCGACTTTCGAACTTCGTAACTCTGGAACCGCACATCGGAGCGCTTCAGCGATTGTTTCATTGGACAGCTGGGAGTTTTCTCTTCGATCTACATATTTTAGTTTTTGGGAAAAGCAGAAATGACTGAGTTACGATCGATTGAAATTTTGAAAAGTTTCGATCCCAGGGGATCGAAAGTTGTACAGTCCGTACACAAAGGGATGATACACAAAAAAGTGGATTAAAGTGAAGAGTAAAAAGAGATACACTGTACACGATGATGACACCCAATACACCTTGAAGTAGACAGTGAGGAAATAGACTAGAGAAGAACACATGTTAGTTTTCTCTTACACATTCATAATGCAGAAAGTACTCTTCAAATAATCGACGTGGAGACTTCATAGAAAATAAAAAGGACCAAGGAAATACAAGTTACACTATAATGTCCACTAACACCACCAGTTACGAAAGTACTATTTCCTCATATGTAAACCGGCTTACACGGAGATCGTCCATGTTATCCAACCTCATGTACAGCTACATGTTTCATGAAAAACAATCATACCATTTTGATAAGAACTTATGCAGGTGAGGGGAGGGGGGGGGGAGTGGTTCCAGAGCAAAGGTTTTCACAGTCAAACAACATATCTTCTCAGACAAAACGGGGAGACCTATTCATAACACAACATACTTTTCACAAATCTTACCTCATCGTATGGAAGCATAGCCCAGGTGATGTCCAGCAAGTAAGGTACACAGCCTGCTTCCCCAGCGCACACTGCTTCACCAAGAGGAGTCCTCCCATTCTACACAGCCATAGCATCCAAAGCAGCAACAACAAAACCAACAAACGGATATCACGAGCACCAGTACTCTACTGGAATCGACGACAATTGTCATATCGTGGAATGGCTGGACGTGGTGCGGCCAACATCAAGTATCCTTTCCCCATATCTCTGAAGGCAGTGTTGCCATCTATGACCAGACCAATTGGCAATACTTTTATTGTGTTCTCATGCTCTAAAATTACGTTCATTATGTTGTGCTGTGTTTTCTAAAAAAAATTCTAACCGTGCTTTACACAGATATATACTTGGGAGTCTTGTCTCGTAGAAAAATTGCTCTGTCTGGATAAACGCTGCAAGCCGCATGTTTAACTGGAAGATTATGACACCCCCCCCCCCCCCCACCCCAGGAACTCGTCTAAGGTGAGGCAAAGTTAACTTGATGGAGTTTGTCCATAACTTGTTACACATGCATGCTTACACCAAAGTGTAAAAAAAACGCGCCAAACAAAGAGAAGAGTAACATCAAGAGTATATAACCCCCCAAGAGTGGGCAACTCTGCTATTGGGGTCTCCGACGGCGAAAACTCACATCACGTGTCTCAGATATCTTCGTACTACGGACAAACGAAGGATAACGTGCGCGCAATCCGAATATCTACCATGATCATGCTGGGGATTTGCATACTCGCAGTGAGTTTCTGTCAGAGAGTGCTTTTTTATTACTCCGCTGCTCGCTAAAAACGGGCTGGAATCGTACAACTGAGACATTGGACCACGTGATGTGAGTTTTCGCCGCCGGCGTACCCCATAGAAAGGGTATCAAGAGTTCCACACTCTTGGGGGGTTATATACTCTTGGTAACATTCATTTCAGTTCAGGACAAGTAAAGAAGACGGAGATCGTTTCGAAACAGTTTATTTTATACACAGAGCAGCAGGGCTTCAATATTTTGTGTGGCCACCGTTTGCTTCGATTAGGGCTTCAACACGACGTGGCAGTGACTCCATGCATGAGGAAACCGTGTCAGGAGCCAACGAGTCCCACTCCAGGTGCAGTGCCTGCTACAGCTGGTCAGCATTCTCGCAGCGAGGTGGAATTATTCTCTTCTTGAGAACAGCCCACAAATTCTAAATTGGATCCATGTCCGGCGAGCAGTGAGGTTGAAACAGGATGTTGGGTACACCACTATCGAGAAGATCCTGCTGTGCTTGAGCTGACGTGTGGGAGGTAGCATTGTCGAGCTGCGTAGACCACTCGTTTGCAAAGAATTCGATGCCACTTGGTACAATGTCGGCTGCCATTCCTTGGGCGAACGTGGCTGCACTCCACGTCGGAGCCAAGGACAAATGCCCAACGGTTCCGAAAAGTGAAATGGCCCCGATAACGTGCACCTTTGCTGGATAGTGTGGCACCTCGCCTATTGGCTTGTCGTCCCGCGGGTACCAGGACATAACACGTCCGTCAGGACCCTTAGGCAAAGCATGCCTCGTCTGCAAAGACAACGCGGTCAAAGTCAAACTGGCGATGCTCAATTCCCCATACTAGCCGGCTGTTCTTTGCTGCTTCTTTCAGAACTAACTTACGCACCGGGCGCCCGGACCTGTAACTATTCCGTCTGAGGCTTCTGCGTACCGTGCTGGAAGGCTGCCATTTGCCTACCAGGTTGCTCCGTGTCCAGAACCTCAGAAATCTTCTCACTGCTCGCGAAATGATTGGCAGCGATGTGATCAGCAACAAACTCCATGCCCACAGGTGAGAGTCTCGGCATTGTTCCGCTGCCGGCCTGTCTTGCCATGGTTCTCCGAATTTCAACTCGATTGCATGTGTCCTTTACCTGAACATGGACAATAGAATCGAAGATTGTTTTGTGACTTGTTCTCGATTTTAGTACATTATTGATGATCGGTTTCACTTACGTGAGTCTTCTTGTAACCGGTTATGTCCATAATTTGTCTCGGAGTATGACCTGCTCTGTAGAGGGTACTCGTCTACTCAATTCATATCCTCAAAAGAACTCATTATTTTCCATTTTTGAATAGGGCTTGCGAAGAAAACTGTAGAGAATGGTTTCATCTCATTTTGGAAATGGGATTGCGGAGCATGTTTGTGTGTCCTTTGTTTGCTGTTCTGTCTGCACTGTGGACTCTGTACGAGATTTTGGGAATGGCCATGTCCTTCTTCTCCATCTCTTCATGAGCTGTACTTCGTTAAGTGAATAGGGACCTTTCTCATTTGCTGCGAATCGAATGTGAAACGAAAGTTTGATTCGGCTCCTAATCGTTTCGTTGAAAACAGATTCAGGTTTCGCAAGTTGTCATGCAAATGTGCATGGCAACTACGACTACGGCCGGTAGCTTGGCGTACGGGTGTTTACACGCACACGTGCATGGATCATGGAATCAAGGGAAAATGTGTACCTGGCAAAACATGTGTACCTGGCCAAATAAATGTGTACCTGACGGATTCGGAGCGCGCCACGATCGAATGAAGAGGCTTCCATTCGTGAAAATGAGCTCTGCGCAGGGACTCTAACGAATCCTCGAACCCAGGTGACGAATAAGCATTCGTTTCGTACCCGTACGTGTGACGCGAAAGGTCCCTAATGAAAGAAATTTTGAACTGTTTTTAGCATGCAACAAGTGCACTCCGAAATTTTACACGAGGTGCGTACAGTTGAGTTCATACACACAAATCGCCAGTGAAGTAATGGGAGCTGGCTTCGCGGCGCCGGCTTTGCACTTAGGGCCGGATTTCACCGAGTGCAACTGTAGTACTTTGCCTTGGCTGAGGTGTAGTACACGCGCTGGAGTCCTTCCGTGCCATGAAAGGAACTGCTTCCTATTATAGAGATTAGGCGCCATGAACCCTGCTTGTAGTAAACATTGCATTAGTAGCACTGATACCTTTATGCAAATATGGGGTAGTCTCGCCTGCGCATAAGGGCGTACTCGTACTCATGGTGTGGCCTGGGCGTTCTCCAGTACGGCTTCCCGCCATTGTATGCCAGACACCCCATTGTTGCGCGCCTAGCCACGCGCGTGGCTTTTGCCTGCTGCTCGGTTGTCAGCGATAACTACTGTTTGCCGTACGCTGCAAACCTACATTTCTGCGCATGGAGCGCGAGAATGTCGTCTTCTTCCGCTCCGCAGTACACAGTCATTAGGCTCTTCCTTCGATGCATCGAGGACAATCCGTTTTAAGCGACTCAGCGCAACATGGGATACAAACTCAAACAAATAAACTTACTTGCAAGAAAAATTTGTATCCAGAACAGATCCAGTCAACTGAGCGCAAGGAGAACAAGAACAGCAACTCGCCACTCATATTTTTTTGCCGCGGAATTCAAATCTCGATTTTCTCGACTTTTCCACAAAAGATGTGGCCATGTTTTAGTGCGCTCTGGTTCAAATAACAAGGAAGCATACATAGTGTGCTGAAATGGGCTCGTCTATTTGGGTAGAATAGTAGAATATTCGTTTTGTTGTACGTTGCTTATTCGTTAGAATATTCGTTCGTGATTTTGCTATTCGTTGCAACACTGCTCTTAACCGTCCACCTCTCCACACTGCACTCTTGGCCCACAGTCACAACACCACTCCATAGCGAGGAAGTTCGTTCTTGGGTAGATGTTCCATATCCTCCAGACAGCTGTTTTCCTCAATAAGAGTACCCCAGCAGAGGTAGATAACGAAGAGGGCAGTGTGGAGAGGTGGACGGTTAAGATTATTATCAAATGGCCGAGTTTGTCGCTACTTCTGAGTCACACAGTCCTCCGAAAAGTCAAATTGACACACAATTCGGCAGTACTCTCGATGACGTAGTCCGGGTGTCATCCCATTATGGCCTCCATTGGCGACACGGGGGTAGAGGCATGGGGTTGCTGTCGGTATAGTCACAGCAGGATGTCCAGGTTGTCTCTCCAACTGCTCGACTTGTGCGGTAGGCTAACAGGTCATTTGCCAGTTTGTAGTTGGCTTCGCCCCGCCTGCAGTTACATCGAGGATAGGCTACCGTCTTAGCCGTTCTATGCTGATGTACTTATGCTGATGGACTACTGTGCTAGCGTGGTTGAAGTGGACGGACGTGGTGGTTGAAGTGGACGGACACGTCATTGAAGACCGATCATGGCTTCGACCAGCCGGAGACACACGACATATCAATGTGAGCGAGCTGGAAGCAATGATCAAATGACTCAACCTCGCCGTTTGTTGGGGTGCTACAAAAGTGCGGCTCATGACAGATTCGAAGTCTGCCACTAGCTGGCTGAACGATGTGGTGACGAACTCATACCGTGTTCGTACCAAGGGCCTTCACGAAGTGGTGGTGCAGTGACGTCTGCAGATAGTGTGGGACATTGTCATTGTAGCTGGCCTCTCTGTGATAGTCGTATTGGCCTCGTCTGCCAAGAATCAAGCTGACATCCTAACGCGTGTCCCTGCTACCTGGACTGCTCACGGCAAAGCGCAGTTGAAGGAGAGCAGCATTGCAGCAAACCTCGTCGGTGGACCTGCTGGTGGTCCAGTTCAGCAACACGACATTGCGGCTGCTCAGCACACCAATGCACTGATCACTGAGGTGATCTCGCAGATTGAAGGAGGCCGCCCACTTCATGAGTTGTTCACGAAGGTCGGTTGACAGCTTGTGATCGTGAATGGCCTGCTGTGCCTATCGATGGAGTCGTGGAACTTCCAGTTGTGGCATCGAAGCTAGTTGCTGATATATTGTCTGATTCACATACGAGAACAGGCCGTGGTTCGTGGAATACCATGTATGATGTTGTTCGTAGCCGCTGCTTCATTCCGTACATGGCTGCCCAGTGCCAGCGGCAATTTCAGGAGTGTGTACAGCAGCTTACAGCCACCGCGAGACGTCTATGCTGCCTACGCAAGCAAGCATCGCAGGGAGCCCATTGTCAGAGGTGGTCATAGACACACTTTAACTTGGTCCAAAGTGAAGTGGCCGCTACCATTGTGTGCTACAGGCACTCGATTCTTTCACTAAGTGGGCCGAAGTTATCC